CGCTGCTTCGCGGCTCGGTAAATATCCACCACTACCTCCCTCCACTTTGGTGAATAGTTGTTGAATAGTCCATTTTGCAGTTGTGTGCTTAGTTGCCAAGCCTTTGAATGGGAGTGAGGCTAGGGGTGACCTTGTTATGATACAAACCTTGCTGTACCTTTCAAATGTAAATCACTTTGTTATCATGCTAACTAGATACAGGTCTCTATCACTACAAGGTCACCCTCAGCCTCACTCTGAATCAAAGTCTGGGCAACTAAGTACACAACTATAAAATGGCCTAATAAAAAACTAACCAGATAAAAAATAGTTGAATAAATTACAGAATGTGAAGCATGAAAAAAGTTTCAATTCGGTGGAACCTTTGCAGAGGTCTTTCTCTTGAAGGTTGTGGTAACTTTACAGGCCTATGAAGCTTTTCTGTTTTCGTTCAAGATGGTGGTTTGAAAAGTTTTGAAAATTATACAATAAAAGAATTGGCTAAATAAACAAAATGGACTGGTTAGGGTGCTAGAACTTGCTTTTGTATTCTTTACTCAAAATTTTAATTTGAAGTAATTTGTTTCGGGCTTTCAGATACCTGGACTTTCAAAAAATGAGTTCCTGGTCCCAGATACTAGTTGGGCACTACTGCCATTTTTTTCCTTTATAGATATACAGCTAGTAAATTCTACGATAGTGCAAATTTGCAAATTTTGGGGTTTATACACATGCTTGTTAAATACAAAGTAATAAACCTTTCCACTTCAATAGAAACATCAGCTGTCTTACATTCTGAGAAAGGTAAGAAAAAGACAAGAAACAAGTAAATAGGGGATTGTCTTTGGTAAAAATTTTAGCTAAGGCACTGTATGAGAGGAATTACCTTATAAGACCTAAAATTATGGGCCAACTTTCATCTTACCATGTGTACAAATTCCTCTCCCATAGATTTAGTAACCAAGAGTATGAGAATACGACGGAACGCTGTGACCCAGCAGGAGAAAGAAGAAAGTAAGAAAATGAAATTTCTTTACTATCTAATGCAAATGGAGCTATGATAACAAGTGCAAAAGCAAATTACTTGGTGAACTATATTCAGTAAACCACTTCTAGCTTACTATTGTGTGAGTAGCATTTTAGAAGAAAGTGGTTTGTATAGGTTAAGTGATGGCATGGGCTAGACTGGCAATTATCACAACTGCAAGAGAGTGACTGAGTAAGATTAAGAATTATGTGAGGAAAACTGTTCAAAATAGGTGTCTCAATGGTGTGATCTGAAATATAATTACATCCGAACATTAACACTTTTTTTTACAATATTTAGCAAGTAATTCTTTCAAAATATTATTAGATATATCCAATGAAGAATTGCCTCACCTCTCCAAGGTCACTTATAAGAAAAAGGAAAACATAATTGCTTGACTTGCTTACAAGTGCAACTCACTACCTATTTTATTTTTCATTGCCCTTGTATGTGATAACTTTGAATCTTCTTTCCTAAATAATACAATAAAGGTAAACATGTACATGTGTACCTCAGTGATAAAGGTCTATGCGTACTTGATATTTTTGATGCACTTCACTGAAGGATATTGATATATCCACATTAACACTGTAATTCCCAGAAGCTGTTAGCATGTAACTTTTCCATTGATCTCCATACATTATCCAACACACAGGTAGAAGAATACTCAAACTTATCAGGTAGTTCTAAGTTGTTATTTTGATCTGGCACCAAATTCTTGTTACTAATTTACAAGTTTAGCTACTAAAGGGGAGAATTAAAATCAGATCTTGGGAATTAATTGGGTTAAAAAGCTAGTTATATATGAGAAGAGCTGAACTTACCATACACAGTTTGTCATAAATTTCTATGTTATTATGTAAAAAGAGGTGATGTGATTTGTCGTTTTCATACTTTTCTTCACAGATTGTATATCACCACCTCGGTTTCTGGATTATCATTCTGTTGCAGCCACTGTGGAAGTGGATTTTTCTGAAAGAAAACCAAACTTGTCTATCTCATGGAAGCCAGTTTACACTGGTAAGATGAAAAATCATCAATGCCATCCCCACCCTAAATGTTGTACATGTGTCGCTTATGAGTTGTGCTTTAATTTTTGATCTTTTGCTTTACATTAAATTTAGCAATTTGTGCCTGTTGGAAAAAACTTGCATTCGTTCTCGTGTTTCTGGGTCTTCATCATGATTTTATAACTTGAAGTAATAGTACGGAAGTTTTATGGTAGTCAAGAACACAACCTTCTGGGAAGTCTTTGTTTTAACTAGCCTATCACATAAAAGCAAGAGAATGTTGTTGCTGTCGTTGGTGTAAAACTGTAGTTTTGGCTTGTGGATTGAACAGGGTATTATATGAATATAGGTTATGAGCTTTGAGTATGTATTGTGTAACTTCCATGGTGAAAATCTTTGAGGATCTGTTGAGAAAAATCTTTGAGGATCTTGTAGTTGAAGGATCCTTACAGAGGTCTTGCAAAGATCTGGTCGAGGAGCCTTGTAAGATGCTGATTGAAACCTTGAGGATTCTACCAAAGATCTTAACAAGATCTTTGAAAGAATAATTTAAGATCTTCCAAAGATCCTCATTTTGTCATCAGAGACCTTGAAAGATTCTCGCAAAAATATTGCAAATATCTTGACAACAATCCTTGAAAGATCCTGATCAAATCCTCAAGGATCCTAGGGAAGATCTTGATAAGTTCCTTGAAGGGACCTTTTTTCCTTTTTAAGGAATTTATCAGGATCTTCCTAGGTTACTTAGAGGATCTTCATCAAATCCTTGAGGTTCATAACAATTAACTGACTTAGTTTGCATATATGTAGATCTTCACAGATCTTGAAAGGATCTTTTAAAGATACTTGTCTTTAAAAATCTTTGGCAGGTGACTTTGAATCCTCTTGTAGCAAAATCTTTGTTGACTTAATTGTACCAAGCATAAGAGGAAGTTTTGAGATGGGGCCCAGATCATGGTCGTTTCCTTACAATTCCCTGCAATTTGCAGATTCATTCATTTAAAAAAAGTTATGAGGTGGGCTAACTCGTAATCTTTTTGCTTACTTTCCTATGTAATGCGAAGGTTCCTGGTACAACTGGACATCATATGCCATTTTTTACCAAGCTGGGGACGGAACACCTTTTTGTAGATTAGTACCAAAGGTATTTTTAAATGAGAAGCTGCTTCCTTTTGTTACATTTTTTTCTTTGATAAAAATGTAAGAATAGATAGAAGACCATTAGCATTTTGAATTAGAGTGATTGATCGAGGAAATTCAGGATTGGTCAATGACAGAGGTAAAATGTTTTGGATATTTGGCATCAATTGACTTTCATCCACTGGAATCAAAGTAACGAATATTTGATATTTGTTCAACTTGGAGACTTATGTTTACTCTTCAACTCAATAATTGTACCTTGTTTCCCAAACGAAAGTGTACACCTTGTAACTCTCTTTTTTTGATGTGGAAGATCACCAGAAATACCCAAGTTACTGTAATTACTGTAATTTTCACTTCTGTTAAGTGGCCACCTCAGTCTGGTAAGCAGTCATGATCACCTTTGAGTGAGTCCCAACTGCCCTTTTGTATTATCCTCCACCCTTATTGAATGGTCACTGAAAGGGGAGTTACTTAAATAAAACGATGGACAATTTCCGAAGTAAATTTAATCAATGTTTATCTCCTGAAATCAATGTTGAAAGTCGTGTTGTCCTAAGTGGTTAACCTGCATTGAGCAGTCACTGGGCCATTACCCATGGGTGACGGATTATTACAGGTTCGACTGTTGGGCAATTTCCATGGAATGTTCTCTTAAAAATTTCCTTATGATGTGAGTTGGTGTTCATTTTTCTCTTCTAGGACCAGCATAACTTCATTATTGCAGATGGTGAGGGTTGGGATTATCCAAATGCCATATACATGGTGGTATGTGCTGTATGTTTACATACCAATTGTCTCCCAAATGTTTTTGGATGCGTTCGTTAAAACAATCCCACACACTATAAACTTTGTGACCGCCACATCCTTTTAAGGGATGATGCTGTGGTTAGTCCACTTGCACTCACCTCTCATTGCTATGGTTTGGTTCCAATTCCCTTAACTTGTACGTTAACTCCCAGAGGTGATTTTGATTTACCTTTTTGTTACATTTTTATTGTTGCATGCAAATTAAGGAACGGATAGGTGGTTAGAATTACAGTCACTCTGAGTACCAGCTGACTTGTGAAGGCTTTTTTCCTGATGTAACTGTAATCAACAACAACAACAACAACAACAACAACAACAACAACATTGACTTTATTTTTTAAAATGAAAGAAATAAAGGCTTTTGTAGCCCGCAGTTAGCAGAGCTATTCTAGGCGGGCTACCTAAACAGACACTGTATAGGCTCTCACACATACACACACACACACACACACACACACACACACACACACACACACACACACACACACACGCAACAATGAAATAAATAAATAAATGAGCAAATAAAAATAAATAATAAATAATAGTAGTGATAATCATGTTAAAGGTTTTAACTGAGCCAGTCACACAAGGGAATTTTTAACAGGTCAAAGAGAAAGCTAATCAGTTGAAATACAAATATAAGCTAGAAAGGTCAAGGTAGCGCAAGTCAACATTCATCTCCTCAATTTCAAGAATTTTCAAAAGCAAGTGAGTTAGCTCACTTTTAAATTTCACTGTAATTTCTTATTACCAGCATACCGGGAAAGCTACGGAAACGTAAAGGGAGAATTAAGAACTAAAAAAAAACACTTTGAAAGGGGTTAAGACTGGTGCCAAATATGGGCTGAGTTTGATTTTCGACCACTTCCTTGCCTAGATTTTCCAGTTTCCGTTATCCTCAGCATATTTTCCAAATTGCAATGTGACCTGGAAATGTTCGAACTCAGAAGCTGTATCTCCTTTTTTTTTTGTTGCAGATTTACACTTATCCTCACTCCAAAGAAAGTGAACAGGACATGAGGAGATACGGTACCTATTACCTTTTGCTTGTTTTCTAGCACTTCTTAGAATATTCTAAGTCTGTAAGTGAATTGCTACCGGAGTTATTGTTTCAATATTGCACGAATGAAATAAGAACAAATAACAGAGACTACAGCAAAACACACAATACCGTAAACAAAAGGTACGGCAACCTGCCCTACAACGGACCACCCATGACTGGGATATCTGCAGGGAGTTAATCGGTTGTCGTCTTCCCAGGGCGGACGTTGTCGTGTTGGGGTTCACTAGCCGCCGTGTTTGATTAGGTTAAAAGGAAAAGTCAACTGATTAAGTTTTGTTTAATTTTCAGATCTTCCTCTACGACCTCTACCGACATTTCCCCCAACGTCCTCTCACGGTAAAAAATTGAAATGTTAGTTAGAAAAGATGAAGTAGCCGGTGTGGCTGGCGTTTCTGTGTGCGTTTAAACCTCGCGCAGCTACTCCGCTTTTTTTTGCATGGCTTCATCGCTTGACGCTTCGCGCACGCACCAAACACCCAGCCACGCCGGCTACTGCCGGGTAACTCTAGTGATTTCCTGACTAGTTGCGAAACGTTGGCTGTTTCCTAGATAAAACACCTTTAAGAGCGAAACATTTCATTAAAAAGAATAGGTAAGATAAAAATTTCTGATTGCTGGCTTTGCATCAGGTCTCATTCTGAAAGCAAAGTTTTTACAAGACGGAAATGGCCCGCTTTTGACGCATAGATGTGAAAACATAACCAGAAGAGCACCTAATTCTAATGAAAAGTTGAATCAGAGGCCAAAGCGAAAAGTAGACTCTTCCTGTGACAGTCTCCTAGAGTTTTACTGCTCCTAGACTTTTTACTTAATATAACTGTTTCCATCCATGAAATGCCCTGAAGTGAAATTTCCACTCCCCCAAACAACGTTGATGTAAACTTTTCATCATCACCTGTAATATAAAAAGCTGAATTATACTCGCATGCTCGCATTGGAGGACAGACGCATAGATGACGTCATCATTAACAAACTTCTGCTTTTTTATCCATAAAGCAAATAGAATCCATGGTGTTGCGGGGTCTGTTCAGTAGTAAAAACGTCATTTACACGCTCGGCAGCGCCTTCTGTGGTACTGGTTGTACTTACCACATTTTGGCGTCATCTGTGATTGATTACTGAGCAGACGCACAGCGTCATGAAATCCATTTGTTAAAGATGTCCAAGAGAAAGCATTATTTTCTCTTGATATATCATGATGTGCGGCACTGGCAAGTGGGCTTTTGTGGATTTAAGATCTCACGAGGCGCTCTTTTTAATTAATTTCCTTTTTTTTTTTGCTTTACCCCTCCACCTTTTAACTTCCATTCATCATTTTTATGTCTCAGTTAAATCAACTCTTTCTCAACAGACACCGTCAAAATTGTAGCGGCCGCTTCTGGTGCCTTTGTAGGCTTTACTTTCCTGATGGTTTTCTTGTTCTTTGTCCATCGAAGACGAAATAGCCCATGTTCCCTTCTTTGGAAAGGTGTGTTTACAAAAGATGGAGACCTCAGGAAAAGTTGTAAGATAGGTTAACATAAGGCAAATAGCCCTGTTTACCCTCCAGGAAATATATTTTCTTTACATAAAAAAGGTTGGAACAGGCCAGATAAATTCGTCTTAGAAAGGACCACCATGAAGGTCAAGAGAAGAATTGAATGACAGCTGTACTACGCTTTTCCTTGGATTGCCGATCTCTGTGTTGAGAAATTATTGAATTTATTTCTATCATACTTATGGAATTGTTTTTTTATGCTGATAGAGGTCCATTCTCGACAAATTATTTTTTTTGCACGACTTCTGACCTGATGATCCATTTTGGCGAAAAAAAATAATGTATCGGCGTAATGTTGTGCCTAGAGCTTCAATATGTCTCAAGCCATTACTTTGCCTGATCTACTCGGTTTTTTTCTTTATTTTATATTCGTTCTGTTGTTCACCATGTTTCGGCATCTAGTTGGTACCCATTAAAGTGCACATATAGTGAGATGTTTCCAATTTTCGTAATTATATTTCGTATGTTTTAAAACAGGTGACAAGCGTGAAGAGGAGCATTGCAAGCAACCACGCAACAATTTAGGTGATTTTACGATTTATAAGTTTACTTGATATCTTGCTTGTCACTGTGCTCACTTTGATTAATGAATAATTCGGCGGGTGTGCGTAAATATATCTTATTAGACGTTTTATTGTGTAGTATCGCTGTGTATTTTTACGAGTTGTGCCGTGCAAGTCAAAATACAAATAACGAGTAAAAATACTCAGCGATACTACACAAGAAAACGTCCAATAAGTTATTTATTATCCAACACGCCACATTGTTATTTCAGTGCGGGCGAATTTCGCGGATATTTCTGGAGCACAAGTATCGCGTGATATTTGTACTCGTCTTGGGCGTTATTTGTCCTCTGCGAAGCACAGTTGAATAATAAAGAAGCAGAATTGTATGCGTATTTTGAACAATAAAAGATCGAAAAGAGCGACGAAAGAAAGGTGGTGTCATTTCCAGATTTCTCAAGAGAAAACATCGTTATGATTAATTTCGTCGTTACAAAAGTTAACAATTAGAAAGTTACTAAATGGAGATGTTATGTTCAGAATCCCCTTTGTAGTAAGTGTCTCTTTTAAAGAGTTTCTTGGTCGGTGCAACAGAATGGATTATAGACTAGTGGGCATATTTTCTCCTTAACCCTGTAACTCCCAAAATCTGATTGTTAATTCTCTCCTCTTGCTGCTACACATTTCCTTGTAAATTTGGTGTTAGATCAGGATAACTTCTACTTGATAAGTTTGTTCTGAATACTCTCAGTACTTGTTGGCTGGATGGAGGTATGGGTGTTAGAGGGAGAAATCTCATTTTAACCACTTGTGAGGGTTAAAGGGTCTACTCGAACATCTGAAACTCCCCTTAGTGATTGTCAAACATGTCTCTGTTGCTTACTGATGAAAATTTGGTGACTTATTGGGAGGGTTAACACACAGTGAATCTCAGATCTGATGATTTTGTAAATTGTCCATTTTACAGTTTTGTGCTTGGTTGCCAAGTCTTTGAATGGGAGTGAGGCTAGGGTTGACCTTGTTATGATACAAACCTTGCTGCCTTTCGAATGTAAATCACTTTGTTATCATGCTAACTAGATAAAATTTGGTGACTTATTGGGAGGGTTAACACACAGTGAATCTCAGATCTGATGATTTTGTGAATAGTCCATTTTACAGTTTTGTGCTTGGTTGCCAAGGGTGACCTTGTTATGATACAGACCTTGCTGCCTTTCAAATGTAAATCACTTTGTTATCATGCTAACTAGATACAGGTCTCTATCATGACAAGGTCACCTTCAGCCTCACTCCAAATCAAAGGTTTGGTAACTAAGTACACAACTGTAAAATGGCCTATTAAATATGTTTGAAGAATGTTTGAGAAAGGAAATCTTTTTAACAACAATTTGAATTTGATAACTTAAAGCTTCATTTGGTACAATAAGTTATCTTAATTATTCATGTACCTTTGTGAACTGTATCCATAATTAAAGTTAGTTTTTTAATTTGTAGTTTATTAATATACTTTAGTAATTGTGCATGTAAACAATCATGTGATTGTTAAAAATAATTTTATTTCTTGTAATTAATCTACAGCTTTGCAAACTAACCATTATTTAGTCAAAACCTAGCCAGTAGCA